CACAATAAATGTATTTTTTAAAGATGATATATCCCTAATAGGGTTAATCTAAATGAAAAAATGTGTATCGTATGCCTAATACTGCTGATCCTCCACAGGTTCTCAATAAAATAGCAGTTTATCGCTTTGCTTATTTCACTTAAAAGAGCCAAGTCCTTTGTATTTTTCAAACTGTACAAATGTATAATCTGTAACATTAAATGGTTATTAGATGTGAATTAAAATTACAAATACTTAAAGTATATCCAATTCTTATCTCTCCAGCAAATCCTTAAAAGAACATTGCTTTTCCTAACAAAGGGGCAGGGAAGGATAAATTAGGAGTTTGAGATTAGCAGATACTAATCACATATATAAAACAGATAAACAACAAGGTCCTACTATACAGCATAGGGAAATATATTCAATAGCTTGTAATAACCTATAATGAAAAAGAATATGAAATGGGGAGGGTATAGCTCAGTGGTAAGTGTGTGCCTAGCATGCACAAGGTCCTGGGTTCAATCCCCAGTACCTCCATTAAATAAATAAATAAACAAACTTAATTACCTCCCCAACAACAACAACAAAATTTTTTTAAGAATATGAAAATGAAATACATATGTATGTATAAATGAATCACTATGCTGTACACCAAAAACTAACACAGCATTGTAAATTAACTACACTTCAATAAAAAATTAAATCAGAAAATTCAAATTTTTTTCAAAAATGCATCTGATTGCCCCACTCACATCCTACTCCAGCCCCCATAACTAGGCTCAGAATTCAAACCTGTCTCTTCACGCATCCAAAAGCCACATGACTAGAAAGATGACTATAACTCAAAGTAAATTACCATTTAAATATAAAATGCTGAAGTTTAATGTAAATCACAACATCCTTTCTTTGATTTTAACAAAACACACACACTGGTTTATTAACTGTTACTTCAAATCTTCAAATCTACCAGTAATGTTGACTAATAAAAAAGGCCATGACATTTTACAGGCAGTAAAGAGTGACAGAGTAAAATAATAGTGAGAACTATGTCAAAGTTAGAAGCCTATTTCTACCCTTCACTTTTATGCCCAAGAATCCTAGAACTCACTTCTAAATTGTGAAATCTGAGTCTGTCCCCAGCCAGAGTAGCAGACTTAATGCACCATTAATCTGGTCTGTTCTCAGCTGCCAACTGAAATAGTCAGTCATTCGATTTTGAAGGAAAAGACAGTACTGCAGAAGTACATTCCAGAGGTCTTTCCATAAAAACCATCCCGTGTGCTCCATCTGCACGTGCAATCTGCTTGTGTATTTTCAGCCAGCTTGCATGGGCAGATTAATGCGTACAATTAGGAAGCAACCTCACAGGCATTCGATAAACTGCCTTCATTATTACACTCAGGAGAGTCCCTCTGGGTGTCAATAAAAGCCTAGTTTTCTGCCTGTTAGCTAAATAATTGACAACACTAAAAATAATCAGAAGCAAATGAACGAAGTCAAGAACAAGGTGGTAAGAAAGAGCACATTAAGATTCTCGTGGTGGTGCCCCAGGATGCTATCATGAGCTTTTTCTCCAGCAAATGGGATTTACAGTCTGCTCAAGTCCGTGCTTGCCCTTCTCTACACAAAAGCAAAACAAAGACCACTCCTGGTCTGCTATTTGACCCGCATATCACAGCATGCGGAAACTAGCAAGGACACGAGGCATCGACTAGTTTGAAAGAATTTCATATTAACTTTCTACTTTGTGATCCTTAGTTTGACAGCATCAGGAGAATCTAATTTTCTAGGGGAGGGGATAGAATGGGAAGAGTCTGGTTGGTCTAGAGAAAACTTGGCGCTGTTAAAATCCTAACAGTTCTCCTCCACAATTTTTCCGCCATAAATTAATCTAAGAAGGGACTATAAAAACTTTTTATGCAGAGGAGCCATCTTTTCCAAGAAGTTTCTTGCATATTTCTAGCTATATAATGGCCATTCATTTCATGAGCTATTGGTCTTTTAATTTCAAAAATAGTTCAAAACAAAAAAACACTTAAAACACACACACATATACTTCTCCTTGTGTTTCTCAATAGGCTTTAAAAATCAATTTGAGATACTTCTCATTTTCAGCCAACTTCTCTTTTTCCTGGTTAACTGGGACTTTTACGATAAGCAGAAGAAAGAGCAAGAGTGAAATGTGCGTGTAATTGAATTCAGCTCCACTGATAGTGTGTGAGGTGGCTGGAGGAAAAACTCGTTTTTCTTTACAGAAAAAGGGTGCTCTCTAGTCTTTAGTAAAACACAAACTCAAGAAGCTGGAGGACTAGGGGGGAAAAGTTTTGACAACATAATCTCCCATGTCCTTTAAAACCCCAAGAATCTCTCATCATGTTTAAAACTCTCCAGAGAATTGGAGATTGTTCAACTTCCCAGACCTGTACCCAAGACTCCTCACTAGTAAGCAGGTCTTCCCCTTCCAGTTGAAAAGGAGGATGCTGCAGAATTAACACATCTGCTCTTATTGTGCCTCCAGGATACAGTTGCCCCATGGCATCCCCTTATCTACTTCAACTTCTCTGATTGGCCTAGAAATCAACGCTCATCCATTCTCTGCCAATGAACAGGGAAGGCAATAATACATTAACATCCTTAATCTATCGCCTCCCTCCTTCACTCTCTATCTAAGGCAGCCAACCTCTCCTGGTGTTTAGCTTTCTACCAGCTTCATCACCCTATGCTTGCCTTAGAACAACAATGGGGAAAAACAAGCTACGAATTCTACGATTCAAACTGAAGAAGATAACATCACTCATGACCACTTCCACCCAACCCCATTCCATCTCCCACTCTTTTCCTGGCTACTAAAGAATACTTTGATGAGTATAGATGTCTCCAACTTTAGAACCTCACTTCCATAATGACAAAGTTCAACTGCATAATGAATATAACAGCCAAGAATCCAATATCAGATGTTTTGAACAGATACCACCACCTAGAATTTAAAAGCACAATGAACAATGTGTCTATAAAAGGTACAAAGTTCTGAAAACATAAACTTACTACTGTTGATGTTCTCTAAAAGCTTCTCTTCTAAGGAATTCTTGAAGTCTTTTTTTCTCTTCTAGTTTATTGCTCTGAAATTGAAAGCGTCAAAATATAATCTATTAGGGAAGCTTTAAGCAGAATCATGATGTTAAGGTTACCTAAGGTCCAAAATCTTCAGGCTCAAGTGGCCTCAGTAGTCCCATATGGTACCTACTGGGGCTTCCAAGATGTTACCTGTCTCACAACTCATAAGCCCCACACTGAAAGCCAGGAGCCCCACGTTCTTTCCATGGGTCACCTCTCCCATCTTTATTGGCAATAATCACAGAATCAGTATTTCACATTTTTATTCTTAGTTAAATGACAGCAACATGTATATTTTAAGCAATGTTTTCAAAATGTTCTAAGGAAAACATGAAATTTTCACACCAAGTATGTTAAATTAAAATGATAATAAATGCTTAAATAGTTGATATGAAATATATATATATATATATATATATACCCACATTCCAATAAAGCATTCAGGCAGAGATTTTCAATAAGCCAATTCAACTCCCTTCTGACTTAGAATCAGATACTTAAAGCTATTGAGAGACTGAACAGCAAATGTCAAAAAAAAAAAAAGCCAACCACTTGAATAAAAAAGAGTTCTCTTTTTAAATTTGTTGTTTGGAGAGTCTAGAGATAAGGGACTTCATACTTGACATTATTGTCACCATGGCTCTGGCATATTTTAATCCAGCTTAATAATCCAAGAACACTTGCTATTTTTCACTGACGCAACTGTCTTTTTTAAATTTGCTTATGAAACAAGTAGACTTTCTAAACAACAAATTTAATGGGGAGTTGAAGCAAGTTCTACAGCACGGAGAGACTTGAAGTTTTAAATGAATCCATGGGAGACGTCAAGCAGCTGGGTCTGCTTTAATAAAAATAAAATTGGATTTGCCCAGCAGGAAGAACTGTGAAAATGGAGTAGTGGAAACCGTCCCTTCCAAACCCTAACATAAGTTTAGCTCCATGTTCCAAAGAAGAGGGAAAAAATTGTTCATATTGTTTATTTCCATGAAAGTCTTCAGTCACACAGAACTATTTACAACTTCCATTTTGAAAGGTAAAAATGGATGATTTCAGTTTCACAAAAAAGTAAAGGAAATTTACTACAATCAGGGAGAACCAATTATAATATAAGGCAGTTGAATTATTCATGAAACACAGTCCTAGGATGCAAACTAATAGAGAATTGCAAAACTGAATAAATGTGATCTCAATCTAGAAAAAAGAGATCTTGACTCATGAGACCAAAAGTTGTACATTATAATGAGCTCCCCGCTTCTCTGGGGGAAAAAAAGGGGGAATGGGGAGATAAAAGACATTAAGCAAGCAGGAGGTTTAACAGTTAAACCAGGATGAGGAATGCTTCTTTGAGAACAATGAGAAAACCACATCTAAAGACCAAGGCTGGGTTCCTTTAGCAAGGTCAGAAATTGGAACACCAGTTGTAACCTCTCCACTGATAGATTACCATTGAACTCAACTCACAAAAACAGTCACTCGGTAGCTAGATTCTGTCCAACAAAGGTCTGTTTATCTCTCAAGAGCCAATGGAGAAGTATTTTGCAAATTACTGGAATATCTGAATATTCAATACCTACCACCGTTTTAGTATACTAATCTAAATAATTAGATTTAGTCAGACTGTTTCTTTCCACATAACACTGAATTAAGGAGTCACCCAACCATACTTATACATTCATATATTCTTTTGATAACTATGTAAGCTTAAAACGCTGAAGCTCTAATTTGTTCTTAGAAACAATGAGTACATACGGATAAACTAAAAAAATGTGCAGTATATTGTCTATATGTACTTACATGCAATATAATGTGTATGTGCAGTCAAACTATAATGGTTCTACCTAATAAAACTGAAAAAGGGAAAAAAGTAATTGGCTAGTAAAAAAAGAATGAATCCAAAAATCTTAAAAATAAAATAAAATAAAAACAAACGCAGAATATAAAATATCTATGAACAGGGGTTCAGAAGAAAAAATTATGGGACCCCCGCTAGGTCCAACATCACTGAGTGACCTTAAACAAATCATTTAATATCACTGAATCTCATTTACTCTATAAACATTTATCAAATGCCTATTATATGCTTGGGGGAGGGTATAGCTCAGTGGTAGAGCACATGCTTAGCATGCATGAGGTCCTGGGTTCAATCCCCAGTACCTCCATTAAAAAAAAGAAGTAATTAAAAAAATATAAACTTAATTATCCACCCCCCCAAAAAACAAAAAAATTGTAATGCCTATTATATGCTTGCACTATGCTAGGTTAGGTGCTGGGAATACAGATATAAACAGAGTAGTGCCTACTCTGGAAAACTTCAGAAGCTAGCTGGGAACACAGACAAGAAAGCCATGATGACAGTGTGTAAAATGTACTAGGGGACAGAGGTTTGCAAATATGTGATACGGACACAAAGGAAAAGCACAGAAGTGGGAAATTGAGAAAGGCTTTCAACAGTCCCAGTGCCTTCAAAGTGCAGGCCCCACTCAGAGCACAGGAGCCAAAAGCCTAAGTGACATTAGTGATGTGGTTTCTAATCCCGGGTTCATGGATGACCTGTGTGTTAGGAGAAGGCTCATTTGTAGAGAGATCAGGCTCAGAGCTTTCCTCAGATTCTCCAAATAAAAGGATGATGACCAAATAAAAGGAGAAGAACCCTGGCTCTGACAAGAGGCAGAAAGTCTAGATAAAGATCAATCTTAAACAAGCGCTTTCCAGGAGGAGGAGGAGGTAACAGGAGCAAGGGTACTGCCCTCCATTGTGCGGGTTCTCACTGCGCAGGAGCCTAGCAGAGAGGTCAGAAAAGGCTAAAACAGAACCCGCATTCGGCTCACCGAGCCTTGCATCCCAGCACGGGGTGCTTCAGCACAGAGCAGGGGTGTCTTTTTCTATTTCTCACAAAGGTCCCATCTGTCACCAGTCTGAGCACCCACAGAACTCACTCCCTGCATGAAGAATCTGTTTCTAATTTGCACAAAGGCAATGAGGGGCTGATAGTGACCCTGGATACAAAAAGGGCATTCCTATAACTTTACAGTATTTTCAATATAGAAAGGCATGCACGAATACGCCAGTTCAGAGAACCCCAAGAAACTCACGGATAAATTCAAAGGGGTTTGTAGTGAGATGGGCAGAAGATAAGGCTGAGAAAGAAGGGTCTGAAGGGGCAATTATAGAGGAATTTATACACGAAGTAAAGGAGTCTGGACTTTATTAAAGGCAATGATAAGCCATTATGTTATTTTAAGCAGGAGAGGAAGCAGCTCACCCTGAAGGCCACATGGAGGATAAACTGCAGAAAGGACCACAGACATAAAAAACAACCAATTACTGGATTCTCACAGTAATCCAGGCCATATATTGTGAGTCCCAAATTAAGGCAACAGGGATAGAGAAAAAAGGATAAACTCTAGGGGAAAAAAAAATGTGGGTGACAGAAATAAGAGGAAGGAAAAAAGAAATAACAGGAGGTAGGCTAAATTAATATAGGATGAGTCAGAAAAGGGGGAAGACTACAGGATGACTGGCATTTAAGAGTGTCAGAATGAATACGAGTTCAATTTTGGACTTACTGGATTTGATACATACTGTGGCACATCTAGAAGGAAATATCAAATGTACAGTGAAATATGTGATTCAAGGATTCAGGAATATGCTAAGGTCTGGAGAGGTGGAGCTCAGAAATCATCAGCACAAGCGATAAACAAATCCATAGGTGTGTAAATGTGGGGGCTTCCACCTCAGAATATGGCAGCAGAAGCACAGGAAAATGAGGAAGATGAACAGATGGGACCCTGGATAGACCATCAATAGTAGAAAAATGAGTGGAGGAAAAGGATCCAGAAAAAGATCCAGAGGGATGAAATTTGAAGGACAGAGTACTTAAAAGTCACAATATTAAAAAAAAAGTTTAAATAAGTTAGAAACTGAAGACTAGTAGCAAATGAAGTAGGTATGCTTCACTTAATAGCATTAAAACTAACTAATGATGCTTCTCAGTGTGTCTGCATAAAATACCATCCATGACCTCCAGGGCTCCAATAACTTTATCAGCTTAATGACTTTATAGTTTAGTGGAAAGAGCAAGGAAAGGCTTCAGATGTCACTCAGGTCTCTAGCTGGTTTCCTACCATTTCTGAGGTTTTGATGCCCTAAGAGGTTCGGAGAATTCAACGAAAGCATTTGTAAACAACATAGCACTGCATAATATTATTTCAAATGTAAGGAAAATCAAAGGCAGAATAAGATGGATGCAGGAGGCAGGGAGGGGCTTTGACATGGAACGGAAAAATTCTTAAGTGCGTGAGCATTATGAAAGTCTAAAAAAAAATAAAATTGTTACTTAATTCATCAATGTGATTAAGAGGGAAAAGCATGGTGGAGGTTTATTCTCACGGCACTAAATTCGAATGAAAGGCTTGCTGTGAGGATTTATGAAAACCTGTCTACCATGTTGTAAGATCCGGTGGCAAAAAAAAGTACTTGCCTGTGTTATCCTGCTGTTTCATTTTTTTAACAACTTTATTTCACGGATGCACTAATACTTTAGAGATGTTTTCTCTACTTTATGAATTTCCAGGAAGAGAAATTAATACACTACAAAACCACGTGAGTTGTACTGGCTTCCTATTGTTGTAACAACCACAAACTCAGTGGCTTAAAACAACATGTATTTATTAATAATCTTACAGCTCTGGAGGTCAGAAGTCCAAAATGGGTCTCACGGGGCTAAAATAACGTATGGATGTTGAGGGAAATTGGCAGATCCCAGTACCAGTAGCAGTTGTCACATCTACCAGGCTTTTAGGGAGCTGGCACTACGAATCCCCTCCAAACACTACAGTTGGGAATCTTCACTTCTCCCTACCCTAAGATAAGAAATCTATTTCCAGAAGCACATCTTCAGTTTGCATGCTCTGCCATCCTAAGGTGCCAGTCATCTTTTTGGTCAGGGTAGAGGTTAGCGGTACCCAAACTGTTTTAGTTTTGTAGCTCCAACCCATAGGTTTAGTCTTTTTTATCCATTGGCCCCTTCCTCTGAATCTTTCTCCTGCTCCCATCTCTTCATGCTCTCAGTCTCTGCCTCCCTCTGCCAAATCAAGGATTTGTGATTACAATGGACCCACCCAAATAATCCAGAATACTCTTCCTATTTGGAGGTAAGTTGATTAGCAACCTTAATTCTACCTGCAAATTTAATTCCCCTTTGCCATGTAACATACCATATTCCTAGGTTCCAGGAATTCAAATGTGGAGGGGCAGAGGATGGAGCATTATTCTACCTACCACATGGGTTGTAATCTGTCTTTAAATCAGTAAGTATCAGGGGAGGGGGCAGGGCTTAAAAACAACAACAACAAAAAAAATCAATGTTTCAGACACATAATCTGCCAGATAATTCACAAAATCTTTACCCCTACCCTTAATCCTCTGAGGCTTGGTTTCGGAAGTGGGGAGTGGGTGAAGGAGGGCCTCTTTCCTTTAGGGTGAAGCAGTGGTGTGCTGATAAACTTAATAACCAGCTCTAGCAGGGAGGAGGAAGGCAGGTTGACTTGTCCCATTTCCTGATTTCTGTGGCAAAAATGCTCCCTCATAGTCAGTTTCAATCTATCAGCATGAAGTCAATGACTCCACAAAAATGTATCGATCCACTCTTATGAGCCAGTAAAAGGAGGCTTCAATACACCCCTGGAAGAAAACGTAACATCAACATACTCTACTGTGGGGAATACAAGTCTGACTGAAGCATCCCAGTGCCCTCTTCAAAGTTGCCCGTAACCCACAGGGTTAATTCTTCCTGGACCCCCGGACATGACCAGCTGCTGAAGAGCTGGCTGCCTTTCATGCCTCTGTGCTCATTAAAGGATCAAAGGACACCCACCTGTGCCAGCAGGGAATACAGTTTACTCTCCCCTCAGTCACACGCAGCTCGTGCCCCATCAGTGTTCCATGTGACCCCTCTTGGGAGAGGACAGACTAAAAGGCAAGGGGGGTTAAGACCAAGAGGCCAAGCTAGAGGTTCTCGGGTGCTTGGACCCTACGTGGCTCCCAGTTCTGGACGCAGCCACTTGTCTGGGGAGGAGGGTGGGGTTTGCAGGCTGGTGTCCATGTGCGTGTTTGCTGTGCATTTTCAAAAATAAATGTTCCCCAAAACACAGCCATTATCCCTTCCCTTGGCCGTGTTCACACTGGCAACGTGAAGTACGCCGTTTCAAGATGGCTGTTGTCCATTTGTCTTTCATCTGACACAAGCTGCTAAACAGGCTCACATTTAGTAAGAAAAGCCGCCAATTCCTACACAACAGGAAGAGTGAGGCCAGGGTGGCAGTGCAGGCCAATTAGCCAGAGAACTCAGGTCTGTGGAAGGACCAGAGTGGGCTGTTCCTTGAGATTAATGCTCCTCAAATCCACCTGGACACAAGAACCCCCTGGGGAGCTTGTTAAAATGCAGAAGGTCTCGGGGCAGGAGGGGCTTGAGATTCTGCATTTCTAATTGGCAGCGATGCCAATGCTGCTGGTTCAAGGGCCATATTTTGAATGGCAAGGATCTACAGATCCACTCTCTCTCCCCGTCTCTCACTTTTGGCCAAATTGATACCAATAATCATTACAGTTATCGCATTAGGAAAGCTAACCCCATTAAGGTTTCTGTAGCTAATGCGTGCTATACATCTAGTGATGATTACTATCCATCTAGTGTTGGGGTACCACACGGAGAGCTGAAAATGCTGCTTTTACTCCATGTTAAGGGAACCTGTTTCAGTCACCAATGTTTCTCGATAGTATACATTATTTCACCCAGGAAGAAATGAGCTATAAAAGACCCGCAAGCTAGCCAATTATGGGTATTAAATGACCACTACTAAATCACGTTTAGGCTGTGAGTTTACAACACGATAATTCTTCAGGATTTGCAAGCCTTTTAATTCAGTTCCTGGTGATGATTTGATATTTTTCTTAGTTCCATCTGAAATGCTGAAAGACGACAATATACGAAGGGAACACCTCCTCTACAATCACAAGACCGCCAAGTGTAAACCTTCTTTTGAAGGAGAAAATGGGGGGGGGGGCAGGGCGGTTGATGGAAAAGAGCAGAGAATAGAGAGGCAGAAAGAGAGAGAAGGACAAGTTTTAAAAAGTTATTATAATAACCTTGGGGGAGGGTATAGCTCAGCAGAGTGTGTGCCTAGCATGCATGAGGTCCTGGGTCCAATCCCAGTACCACCATTAAAAAATCAATAAGTAAGTAAGCATAATTACTGCCCCCAACCAAAAAAAAGAAAAAAGAAAAAAAACAATAAAATAAAAATAAAATGATATTATAAAAAGGGAAGGAAAAAACCTAGACAAAAAGTTACTATAATCTTTTCAATGAAGGTATAATAGCCAATCAATTGAAGTGAATTGCTGAATCAAATTTAGTAAATAAAGTTTCTATACTCTTTTTTTTATACCTCCAGCATTTCATTCCCGTTCGTCATGTGTAAGTCCAGTTTCATCTCCACCTCCAGAGCCTGTATCTCTACAGATGCAGCCTCTGCATCTACAGATGTTCCTGGCCTTTCGAGAAGATGTGGGACTTATAGATTCATTTTACAGGAATACTTCAGAGAGGGATAGGAGCTTGACCAAGGTCACACAGCACAACAGGACACCTTCCATGAAAGACTTAGTCTGTTCCTCAGCCAGGTAGAGAGCTCCTTGGGGAAAGAAAAGACTTACTTTTGCACATTCCATAAGCCAACAGCTTTTGGCTTCATTGACTCTAACTGCTAAAAAAAAAACATACCAAACAAACAAAAAAAAACTATTGCTTGGTAACCAGGTTTAAATTTTCACCAATATTCAATCTTTAAGAGGAAAAAAACAAAGAGAAGAAGGAAGAGAGATACAGACAGATAGCAGATAAAAGAATTGTGTTTCCGTGACTTAGACCCACAGTGGGTGTCATACTTGGTCATCAGTGTCAGGAGTCAAGCTCTTGCCCCCAAACCTTCAACACTTAAAACCTGCTACAGCTTAGGACTCTGGCGGGGGGGGGGGGGGGCTAGAACAACACTACATTCTTCCTGCTCTAGGAGGTAAGCAGTTTTAAGAGATTTTTTTTTCCCCTGAGCCCCAGGAAGGGGATCAAAACCAAAACATCACTTTGAGGTTTAAAATAGATCATATCATTAATACCACAATGCCAGCGCACGCTTTTTCTTTGTTCAGTGAGAGAGGTATGTTCACTTATTTAAAATCATCCTGGAGGAGGAGGGTATAGCTCAAGCGGTAGAACGCATGTTTAGCATGCACAAGATCCTGGGTTCAATCCCCAGTACCTCCATTAAAAAATAATAGTAATTAAAATAAATAAATCTTCAAGAAAAAGAAAGTTTGAACTTAAAAAATAATCACTCTGGAAAATTCAGAATTTGGATATAAATATGACAATGTACCATTGGTGGCTGTTGTGATTAATTGCTGCCCCTTCTGGCCAAATATAAAGCTACTCCTTTGATCACTTGCCTGTGAGGTGAGACACTGTGATGATAAAGAACTTGACCTGAGAGGCTAGTCAGCCTGGATTTGAATCCTACTTCTTCTATTTACTGGCTGCGAGCCCTTGGGCAAGGAATCTAATTATTGGTCAGTTTCTTCATTTGCAAACTTGGGTAATAAGAATAATAGAAACTTCATAGGCTCTTGTGAGGATTAAATGCTTTGTATATGAACAATGTCCAGGAGGGAAGCCCTCAGTGACTGTCCGTTCACCATCCTCTCCCGTCTCACCTTTTCTCTCTGAATTGCCTTCATTTTTTGGATTTCGGCTTCTTCAGCTTCCTTCTTGATTCTTATGCTTTCTTCTCTATTTAGCTGAGTTGTATTGAGATGACAGAGGACAAAAACCAGTTACTATTTTTCAGTCTGAACCCCTGGAACACAGAATTATGATGACTGGCAAATCGCAGTATTGTTTTGCTAGACCTCGCCGTGATTATAGGTTGAGCTCCTTAGAGCTCACAGCAGAGAATGGTCAGGCTGCATCTGCTGCCCATGAAAATTCTCTTTGTGTTTCTTCCTTGGTGTCTGTCTCTCTCTGTCCCACTCCCACCCCTACCCCCAGCCCAGGTTGGGGAGAAGAAAGGGCAGACAATTCTTCCTGATTATAAAACTCAGAGTTCGTTGTTAAAAAAAAACAAAATCATTAGCATCTTAAAATATTTTGTGTCGCTTTTATGACTGGAATGGAGTAAACAAAGCCATGTTCTTGGAACCAAAATATTCAAAACATATTAGAGAGTTAAATTAAACTAGGGGAGAACAAGTCCCTTTACCAAGGGTCCTGCTGACTGATACTCAGCTTGGGTACAGATTCTCAATATTTATCCTTTCACTTCCCACTTCCTGATTTCTTTGATTTCTGAGAGTTTCCTTTGCAATTGGTTTCAAGGTTTTATGCTTTTGGTAAATAAAGTTACTGTGTTATTTCACGGTTACTTTGAAAATGCTGGGACTCTCATCTCTTGCCAAATTTAAGCTAAAAGGGATGGATTCTGACCTTTTGCTGGTATTTCGATTGCATCAGCTGAAGTTGTTGTCTCTGCCTGACTTCAGCCTCTGACTGGCTTCCACCTAAGGGGGAGAGAACAGTTACGAAGGCGAAACATGAATATTAAGCTGAAAAGTCAGTCATCAAAGACTAATGAATACCTGATAAGTCTACACCATGAGATTCTTTAACATTTTCTTCCCCCTGGAAATAAGGACATAGCCAGTTTCTTTTTTTTTAATAAGACATTAAACAATAGTAATTGCTTAAAAGAGAAACAGAACTGAACAGATAGATAAGGCCATATTCTCCAAAGAAGATAATTCTACCAAGGTTTTTCAATCATGTAGGTATTCAAGTTTCTATTTAAACTGAACTCACACCGGAAGGTCCATGCTCAGTAATAAGAAATGGTGCCTTGGAAATTCTAGAACATTCTCCCTGCTAGAGTATGACGATTCCTTAACCTAATAAAAATGATCATCAGTGATGCTTTCATTGTCTTCTTCTTCTGATTCCATTGCCCTGTATTCAAGTAGCAAAGCACAGGAAATCAGAGTCTTTGCCACAAGGGGAGTACCCAGTTTTTAAAAGTACAATGGGAATATTCTAGTTAGAAACCGATTGTCAATTCATACGATTTATTGTTCTTTCTTTAGGTATTTAAGGAAAATATGGATGCTAGATTATTTTGTCTGCTTTCTATGAAAACTATAATAACTGGGGGCCAGAAATCCTTGCAGGTTGACAGTCATCTAAGAATTACTGTTTAGGGATTTTGCAGCGTTTATGCAAGCTTAGTGTTCGTATTTTAAAGATTCCTTTGAAGTAATTCTCTGGTGCTTTGGTCACTAAAAGTCTCAGTTCTCTGAAGGATTCACTCACACAGAAGATACATTAAAACAACTTGCATTCAGCAAGTGCTTATAATTGAACTGATAAAAACAGCATAGAGACTGAATCCCCAAAGGTACAAAGGAATCTGTTTGGTCTTAGCCCTTCAGTCTCTGTTGTAGGGGTTGGGAGAATGGAAAAGAAGCAGTGAGGGCTACTGAAGCTTTCATCTAATGTTACAGCCACTTTCAGTATCTCCTAGAACCACTCCAATATCTTAATAGGGAGCGGAATAAGGGACGAGTTGACAATTTTAAAATGGAGAAAGTCAGATGTCTAGCGTTTGCAGGTTTTCTTCTAAACTCATCTCAACATTTAGCACATTCTAGAATTCTTTTCTGCCCCCTACCCTCTTCCCATGCACATATCCTTGACCATTCCCAGATGCATCGTAGAGCAGAAAGCTGTAATGAGACACCTGCTCCTTTTTGGTTAAGGTCCCAAGACAACAGGCATCAACATCGCCAAATTCCAAAGGCACGCGTGTGGTTTCTAAGCAGGATCTGCAAGCAGGTAACTGAAAACCGGCTTGGGGACCCTTAATGAGCAACTCCTTTCAACCAATTAAAAGAGGTTAGCTAGGCCAGGGAGGTAGAAATCAGAGGAAAGATGTCTTTGTGTATTTCATCATCTGTGTGTGTGTCTTTGGGGAAGGGGGAATGTTCACATCAATGTGAGCAAGAGAGGTTTAACAAAAATCACTTGAAGAGTGCAATCCACGTCCTTAAGAGATGGAGGGACCTAGTGGCCCTGTGCTGAGGACAGTCAGAGCCAAAAGGCACGTGGCTGTTGTCAGGTGGCTCCTCAGACTGCACGGCAAGTGGCCTGTATTCCCAGAGTTTGTGGGGAGAAGGCACAAGTGTATGCTGTACTCCCAGTCTGGCTGTCATGACAGAGAATCCATCCATCTTAAAGGGACTTGCCCATGCGGGCTACCCAGAGGTACCCTGGAGCTCTCCAAAGACAGTCGAGCCACCAAGAGCCAATGGTGAAGCCAAGTGCTGCCGGCAGGAAAGGGTGTCATCTCGACCAGGGAAATCCAGCTTAGAGATGGCCGGGGGCAAGGAGCGATGCTGAAGAACTCCAAGAAGCCCCGGGGTGAGAAGCACAGGAAGCACACACCAAAACTCAAAGAACCTGGGATGATGGGTGCACGACAGACCCTTCCCTCTTCTTCCCACTTTGACCCAGTAGGGGTCAGAATCTGGGAACGGAGGAGTCAACAGAGAAAAATTCAGTCACAATCCATTTCCTCTGCTAGCTTTCTACCCCAAATCATGGGTTAGAGCAGGGAAGAAGGTCTCATCTTCTCCATTAGGATCAGAGTTTCCTCTGATTATTAGAATCAGTCCCAAGGACCAAACATTCATCACTGAAATGACACTCTTTTTATGCCTGGAACTATCTGGACAACTTTACTATTTGAGAAAGGCCAAAAAGATCTAATTTCATCCAAAGAACATCAGAAAAACTAGGAGCCAGTTTGAGGCGGCCAGTTAGGAAAAGCGGTCTCCAGGTTGAACCCCTTAAATGCATTTTTTCAGCATAAAGGTGACACTTGAGATTATCCCCTTTCATGAAATACCGTGGGATGATGATGTTAATACTATTACTTCCACTCATTAAGTAATTATAAAATAAGCTTGCTTTTACCACCATCTTGGAAAAAATACTTCTCTGAAACTGTTGGCGATAGTTAAGTGGCCTCTGACTCTAACATGTTTGTATGAACTCAGTCTGTGGGAACTGTGCATCCAGCCCTTTAGTTCTCAGCTGCTGCTGGGAGAGAAGAGAAAAGAAAGGACAGGAATGATTCTGTTTGGGTGGCTTCCCTGTTGAATGGTTCCAACACCGCACAAAGGCAGCCCAGACAACTCATCACACTGCCGCGTGCCCCAGAGGCCCAAAGGTCTCTATGTGCAGAATGAAAACAGGGGTGATGCTCTCTTTATCCCCACCCCTAGGTCCCCAGCTCACCTCATCTTAGTTTTGGAATTGACTCACCATTCACCTTTTTCCCCATTACCACTGAACTGCCGTGATTAATATGCTTGTGATAGCGCTAGTCAGGATGGGAGTAAAAGATATGACAGGGCATATGCAGCGCCCTGGGTAAGATTTCTTCAAAGCTGATCATCTAAGAGGCTCTAAATTATCTGGCAATTAAGCCATCACTTCATTCCCACATGACGGTGGCATCATACGCTTGCTTTTTGCAGAAAATCAGAAACGGCAGTCTACCTGCATACTTATTTCGACTTTAAATGCATTCTATTCCAAGCAGCACAGTGACCCAATGACCTATATCGTACATTCAGAGACAGATGTAGGCAAGGTGCTAACAGGATCCTTGGGTGGCCCTGTCCTCCCGCATTCGGGCAACTGGCTCGCTGTCTTACCTAGCCGCCTGGGCTCCAGGTTAATGGGCTGAGCCCTATGTTTCTCCTTCCATCTCTCCAGGTCCTCCAGCTCTTTCTCAGCAACTAAACCAGGTAAGAAAGATAAAATCATCAATTATTATTATGTAGTAAAGGAAACTGGTCCCTTGAAAGCATAAGCAGGGGGAGGGGTATAGCTTAGCGGTACAGCACATGCTCAGCATACAAGAGGTCCTGGGTTCAATCCCCAATGCATCCATTAAAACATAAATAAGATAAATAAACCTAATTACCTCCTCCCTCCCCAAAAATAAATAAATAAAATAAATTCTACGAAAATAAAATAAATGTTCTAAAAAAATTTTTTTAAAGAAAAGAAAGCATAAGAAACCACCATCCAATGGAAAATTAGCTACATGCGAGCAGGAGTGGATGAGACATCCAGGAAAGGAAAACACCATCCAGTTCTAACCCCCTGGGGTCACCCTGGACCCACCCCTGAGGCTTGTCTCCCCAAGACTTTACACAGAAGATCCAAATTTGAAAACAACCTGAACTTTGACTAAATTAGGAAGTTTAGTTTTTCCTCCCATTCTGGCATTTTTACTGAAATCAGTCAGACAGAGAAAGACAAATATCATATGATATCACTTATATGTAGAACCTTAAAGAAATGATACAAATGAGCTTATTTACAAAACAGAAAGAGACTCGCAGACATGGAAAACAGTAGTCCTATTGTAAAGCACAGGGAACTCCATTCAATATTTTGTAATGACTCATAATGAAAAAGAATACATACATATGTGTAACTCACTATGATGTATGCCAGAAACTAACACATTGTAAGTTGGCTATGCTTCAATAGAAATAAAAATAAAATTTTAAAAATAAAATCCTGTATCAATTTAATGTTAAAAGTTTCCCATAGAGAATGTGTGCAAAACTAGAATACTCGTGTGTCAGTAAGAACTCTTCACACACAGTAAACAGATATCTCCAATGAACTCTGATGCCCATATTCACTGCACTTTAAATGTTCCCCAAGCTCACAGCAACCACGAGGAGTAAGGGTGCTCAGATTCCTGGCTCTTGGGACCACCAGGCGGAGCCTACTCCGTGGCGCAGCGCTAATTCCCCTAATATACACTGGGTGTCAGCAGGGGGCGCCAGAGATACTAGATTCTGTTCTTCCAATGTATGTCCAGATCGCCTCCTTAGACCTGATTGTTTCAAATGTCCATTTATAATATTTTTCAAGTATTGGAGGGGGAAAAAAAACCTTCTGAAACATCTTAAAAATCCAGACCACGCTGAGGCTTAAATTCCTGTTAAGTATTTAAATCAAAAGCTTGTAAAATCCAGAATCTTTGGGTCAACTGTTCGCAGTGCCCACAGTCTCTGTATCTGCATAGCTGTGATTGCCACATTCTGCAAAGACCTAGATGCAACACGCAGGAAGCTACCTGTCCGGTGAGATCTTCAGAGAGCTGCTTTTCTGTTGTGCCCTTATGCTTATTGGTCATCACAAAATTCAATTTCCTATCAAGATCAAGAATGGAGAGCACAGAATCTCAGTGCTAGCCCCACAGCTTGACTTGAAGGAGCCTCAGAACATCGTTTTGAACTAAATAAACTTTAGTTGTACTTCCAGCTCTAAGGTGTAATGCTATAACTTTAAACGGCACAGTTTATTTTATGGTACAACTTCAATTAAGCATGTTATATACCCACTGGGTACAAGGAGTACAACAATGAATAAGATGTAGTCCCTGTCCTCAAAGAGCTTATAATCTAGAGAAGGAGAGTGAAATCACAAATAAAAACAGCTGAGGGTAGACTCCAATAGTTACAAAATTATGGGAGCACAGAGGCTAAAGAAGAATTCCATTAAGAAGGAATGGGACAGACTGGGGCTTTGTGCTATACACCAGAAATTGACACATTGTAACTGACGGTACTTCAAAAAAAAAAGAGGAACGAGACAGATCCAGTAAGAGACAAGTTATTTTATAATCTATTTCCTGTATCACTTGTCTGTTTCAAAAGTGTTCATAGTTCTGTAAAGATTCCTGCACTGAGCCCAATTTCACAGGGACTAGATAGGTCTGCTGGAAATAGGCGTGAAATTGTTTAAGCCCAACAGAAACCTCAGATTTAAAAACCATAGATACAACTGTGCTGTGAGTTCTGTTGTAACACAGAGAAACAAATTTAGAAGCATGAACAACAGAATAATTTTAAAAGGTATAATTAAAACTGCTAAAGTTAAAAAAGAAAAAACAATGTTAGCTGGTGAGTCTATACAAATCAGAAAAGAAAAAACACTTCAGACCAAAGCAAACCAATTCTCCTCTACGAGAAAATGAGAAGTCTTCTGAATGTTAAATAATATACGTACTCCGTTGCATCTCATTTCTTCGCTTTTCATTTGGTGCTATCACGGTATATGCGCCTGTGCTGGAACAAAGAGAAAAAGAAAAACTGATTATCACGAGAAATTACTGATGCATCTAAATTTAAACCACTAGACATTCTTTCTGAAAATATGCTATATTTATGATCATCCCCATCAAATAGGTACTGTGAAAGGTAATCTTCCTCTGAAGCCCCAGGTCTGTTTCTTGAGGAGCTTACAGTCTAGTTGTCAAAGTAAAACAAATACACACAGCCAAATATGGAAATATAAAGCCATTGATGAAGGGTGACAAGTGACTGCTTCAGGGTTGGCTCTTGATACACTGTCTTTGTAGGGATCTATTGTTCCTCCAGGTGGCGCTCATGGGCACATCCCTTTGAGATGGTTCTCGACTGGGCTTCTCTTCCAGGGACCCACAATGGGAATATAGGAAACACGCATGTCTTTTTTATTTTATTGTGTTATTGTTGTTGCTCCTGGGCATAGGGACCATTTGCAACATAGCCACCTCTTTGTGATGACCCATCTGAGTAATCAAATGGCCACAGCCTTGTGTTTTGGACTTTGACTTGTCCAGGTACAGGTCCACGGGGCCCCTCATTCTCTTGGGGACACAGGTGGAACATCATCAGGAGCTCAAAGAAGCAAGGAGTCACTTCAGTTCACTGGGGGGGACCAGGGAAGACTTCATTTAAGCAAAAATAGTCCACACTGAGATACAAGAAGTGGTTGAAATACTGTGAGCTTCTGAAGGCAGAAACTGCTTGATTGATCTATATATGCCCAGCTCCTGGCACAGAATTGCTGCTTGATGAATGTGGGCTGAATTGAAATGAAATGATGCCACAGACCCAGTCCGTGAGTCCGTGCTGGGGTGGCTCTTCTTTGAGATGATGCATGTAGTCCCACAAAAGTATGAATATCTCAAAGAGCAAAAATACAGCACAGTAACAGACTGCAGCATGCATGTGGGTACAGTGTTAGGGGAAAGGTTATGGATAAATATAGTCAGCTCATCAATGTGGGTCTTTAAAAAAAAAGAAAGAAAAATCCAAATACTCTTAGAAGTCTCTGTCAAACACGAAATGTACAATTTCAAAGGATAAATTAGCAAAGATTGAACAGGAGAGGCTGAAAGTGCCGCTTAACAGAAGCCATTCCTTCCTTATCTCATTATTTTCCTAGCAGCGAGCCTTCAGCCAGCTTCAAACCGGGCTTTAATTTTAGACTCATAAATGGGAGGTGTGCAACCACCGCTGCATGCAAATGGGACTGCTGGATGCCCAATTACCTAATGTATATCAGCGGACGTTGCATGTGTAGCCTAGCATGTGTACAACGATGTGAATACCAAATTAGGAGGCTGCCGCTGGAAATTAATCCCTTGTTCATTGCATATTCTTTGTTCACCCTAAGAAAGATTTTTCACTCCTCAATTGCCCACACTTTATAGGAGTTTGAGAGCTGCAGCTCTATGGGTAGGACCTGCAAACTTGAATACGATGCAATACTGAGCTGTTCTGCAGAGCCTTAAAGATGAAACACGAGATGATGGATTTAAATACCAACCACGAAATGACTGCAGAATCCTTCATGTCCACTAACATTGTGGTACGGAGCTTCTCATCATACCAGGGATTTGACTACACTACAAATCAGTAGTTCTTAAACTTTAGCATGCATGAGAATCACCTGGAGGGTCGGTAAAGTGTAGTTTCTGATTGGGCAGGTGGGGGTGGGGAGGTCTGATAACTTGCATTTTTACCAGTTCTCAGGTGATGATGATGTTCTTGGATCTGGGGACCGCACTTTGAGAACCACTGCTATAGATTAGTCAAGCTGTCTTCAAACATTTGGACTAAAAGGGAATTGAGGGATTAATAAATCATTGATAAGGACACAGAGGTTAAATCATATGCCAGAGATCATGAGGTTGGTTAAGCAATGATGCTGAGACTCAAACTCAGCCCTTGTGGCTTAGATCAACTGGGCATCTGGAGCTCACCCTTGCACTCAATGTAGAAAGCATAAAATATACCTGTCCTTAACTCCAGCCTCTTGATAGACTTCTGAAGAAAGTAATCTACTTAACAGAGCACCCATTATGGACTTGTGTCAGGGGCTTATGAGGAGTGAGGGGAGATACCAAAATACTGACACCAACCCCTTTAACAGTGCCTACACTTTAATTAGGAATAATTCATGAAATCACTGGAGCAGAACAGAGGGATGTTCAAACAAGCCTCAGAGTGGGAAGATGGAAGTAGTCAGAAACCCAAGGTGGAGGGGAGTCACTGAGACCCCAGAGGCGTAGAAAATTTCAGAGAAGAATAGCAGCAAATTTGGGCTTTGAAGTGGCCAAAAGGATTTCTGTGTGAGGGCTTTGTTAAAAGAAGCTTTGTAGAGAATTTTCTGACTTCTTAAGTCTCTCTTATGACATTTCCAGGAAAGGTTTAGAAAGAAAAAAAAACAGTTTATTAAAGATTTTTTTCTACAGTATCTCATCTGATTAAGTGTGACAATATCATACTAGAATCTTTAGTCTTAGCAATAAGACTGTGGTCAATCTATGGCCAACGTGTGCAGCCGACAAGTACCCAGACACAACACAGGGCCGTGAAATAAGGAGGAAGAATTATCTAGCCTCGAGATCAGATGCTTTTAATCGAGAGCATTTAAACATCACCCCAGGCTCAAGGACAGTGGTCCCAGTAATGAATGTTTTATGTTAGAGAATTCCTTAGTGACCTTCTTAGCGATATTTTATTGGCAGAAAATGTCAAATCCGAAACATAATATTCAGAAGGAAGCCCTGCCGAGTAATGGATCCTCTACTCTTATTTGCTATAGGAAGAGGAGCTTAGGTCTAAGGATTTGCTTTTTATTTTTTAATATCATGTAGGGGAACATAAGGCCTGCGTAGATACTAACATGCATCTCTTCTCTCTTCGCTTTTCCTTGACATGAATAACAAGTATAACTTATTCATGTTTTCAGCCAATTAGTTTCCACCCACAGCAAGGGCCTCTGCTGTTTTAACCTCCATGGCATCCGTTTCAACAGCCTGACCCTCAAAGCTGCTGCTGGAGACAAGCCTAACTCACCTATATTTAGCATTCTGCTCATTTCCTGATTAAGCCACCTTCGAGCCACTGAAATAAATGTGTATCTTTCAAAATGAGTCTCCTTAATTACCTCATGGAAATTTAATGAAATATTTCAATTTGTAAGATTATTTTCACTTTCCAACAGCACACACTTGTGAAATATTCTAAGGGAGAATGTATAATGATTAACACAAAACAATGAGAAAAGTATTTTCCTGGACCATTAAAAATATACATACATATTTAATAAAAAAAAATACACTTAAGAAATCTTTTCCCTGTGAGGTCTCTCCTGAACTACACAACTGCCTCTCACGTGTACATTCTTGCAAATTTTATAAGGTCTTATCAATAAGCGATCTACGGAAACGTGCTATGCTGAAGTTAGGAAAAATATCCTGGCTGGCTGAAAGTATTACATAAATATATCCCCTGGTGTGTCCAAACTGCAGCAGATGGAATTTAAATTTCTAATTAGGAACAACCCTGGCTTGACTGAAAAAGAAATGTAGCTGAGAGCAAAAATTCAGAAAGAGATTGTTACAAAGAGCTCATTTCAAGCAGAATAGGCGACATGTAAAGTCTACTGTTCCACAAAAAGTTGGTTTGACCAGAAATAGATTCATGGACATAGAAAATAAACTGTGGTTACCAAGGGGGAAAAGGAGGGGCAGGGATAGATGAGGAGTTTGGGGTTAATTGACACACATTACTATATATAAAATAGATAAACAATTAGGACCTACTGAATAGCACAGGGAACCGTATTCAATTTCTTGTAATGCACTGAAATGGAAAAGAATATGAATATATATATATATATATAAATTGGTTTGAGGTTTTCATAATTCATGAAAATCTTATCCTTAGGTGAAATTGAAAAAAAAGGAAATTTTTAGTTAATCAAAGGTATTGGATAGAGAATTCGTCTCTAGATGTGGCTTTCCCTATTGGCTTATTTTTCATATGATCTTCAACGTAGGAATCTGAAGCTTACTGTTTTTAACCAACGTTGAGTCAAAACATATGAGGCACTGAGGTTTTCAGAGTTCTTTCATAAACAGACCATCTTCCCAAGAAAAACCAAAAAATGACAAAATCAGGCTGAGGAAATCATTCTTGACCCCTAAGCTTGTCACACCAACCCTGATCCAGTCTGTATACCTCTGGTGTGGAAGGACTAATGAATCCTCTTTAGTCTTAGAGCCTGCAGGGCTCAAGACATTGTCTGCATACCCGAGAGGCTGATGTGAAGCTGGGTAGGGCTTTAACTCACAGCTTCTGTTGGAGGGCTGAAGAGATGCCCAGAGGACTAGATACCCAGAGGGAACAAACAAGAGACCTTCAGGTTATCAGGCCCTTTGTTCAAGGGATATCTTTACAGAAAGTAGAAAGAGGTATACACACACACACACACACACACACACCCACACCCACACACACACCTCCATCCCGGGATCTTCATGTAGGCCCATGGCTTAGTGAGAGGTGGTAAATTTATGCAAATTAGAAAAAAGTGCCCCTTCTGTCAGGTGGCAGTAACCCCACACTAGGGCACATGATTTGGTATGTATATTTCAGCTTCAAATGACTACCTTAGCCAGGCAAGTCTGTACAGTTACCAACCTGCACAATCATACAGGGTAGACCTGAAAGGTGTTATTTCTTCACTTAAAACACACATACACATAAATGATAAAAGCTATGAAAAAAGAAGCAAGAAGGATTCATTCTAAATATACAAAGAACATACATGAAATATAATATTATAGAGACCATCTCTAAGAGGCCAAAAACCCGTGACAGGAGTAAAGATGGAGACCAACTGGTAAGTATACTTGCAAAATGTATTAATTTGCTTTCTTAAGGAATTCATATTTTCAGAATGTAGAGATGTCAGGTCTGGGATATGATTTGAGCCTATGTGCAAGCTA